ACTGTCTTTTTTTTTTTTGTTTTTTTTTTTTTGTTTTTGTGGTCTGATCACCTCCGTCATCACTGGATGGGCGACCAAAGTGTCTCCCCCAGGCCGAGGTCCCACTAGCAAAAAGGTAGGATAGAGCTCGTGAATCTGGATGTGTTTTAAGCAGAGATGCAGAAAAGCCGTTGAATCTCGATTTCGTGCACATCTCCATAAACTCGTCCAGATTCAGGCATTCGATCGGATCCTCTTTGCTAGTGGGACCACGCCCGCGGGACCTTGTCCCACATGCTCCGTTGAGTTGACTCAGAGGTAACTCAACGGTGTGACAGTCAAAAATGCATTTTTTTATTCACAAGAAATGGGATATTGCTTTTTTTTAATTCAAGAATCGGGAATAAGTTTAGTTTTCTTTTCTCTTTCTTTGATGGTCGGTCCCCCTCTCTCCCCCCCCCCCCCAACGCGTGTGTGTGTGTGTGTGTGAGAGAGAGAGAGAGAGAGAGAGAGAGAGAGAGAGAGAGAGAGAGAGAGACTCGTTGCACTACACTTGAAATGTGGAAACGAGAGTGAATCTTCCACTAGAAAATGGAAAGATACATTGCCATGATTTGTCTTTTGTGCAAGTCCAGACGCCCGATGAGCTGCGCGGGGCACTCTGCACAGGCTGCCGAGACTCTCTCTCTCTCTCTCTCTCTCTCTCTCTCTCTCTCTCTCTCTCTCTCTCTCCCCCCCCCACCCCTTGCACGGAGAGTTTTTTTTTGTTTTGTTTTGTTTTTGTCTTTTTGTTTTTTCTTTTTCCTTTCTGTTTTATGAAGCGACCGGGCGTTGGCTTGCCAGACCCCCGAAAGTCGCGGCATGTTAACATGTAGTGCAACGAGTCTCCTGTATAGGTGTAGGAGTACTGGAAGGTAGATAATGAAAGGTGAAATTGAAAGAAGAGTTTAGCTTAGTTTTGAAAGGGGACCCCCCCCCCCCCACCCCCCACCCTCTCAGACATGTACCCAGGGGTCAGGACCCACTAGCGCAGTTTTATACCGTGGGACAGCGGCGTGTGACACACTTTTGGTATTTGAAAAACGGTATCTGTATGTTTTTCAGATTTGAAAAACTCACTTGTCTGTGTGTTAAAGAAGGTAAAATTCAGCTTAGGGCGCTCTCGTCAGGCTTCAGCCAATGGGCTGTGAGCCATGGAATTCGTCGCCGCTTTTTCTGGGTGTGTGCTGCCCTCAGCCAATGGGCTGGGTCCTCTGAAGGTCGTTGCTGTCAGGTCATTATGATATTTGGCAGTACACACGACTCTATTTTTTTTGTCGGCCTTTTTTGTGCACGCGAAGCACTGTAGCAAGGGCACAATATCCCCCCCCCCCCAAAAGAAGTCTGGAAAACACGGTGCGGCTACAGCGATTTGTCTTTACTCTTTAAAACAATAACGGTCCCACCGTAACTTGCAGATGCGGCCCCGGGGAAAATCAATTCAGGCCCATACCGTCCCGACAGGGGGCCTGAGAGAGGGACAAGCTGGCACCGAGAGGGTCCGGGTGCGCACGATCGAGGCAGGGGGCGACGGTTAGCGGTGCAGGGAAAGGGCGGGGGCGGGCGGAAAGAATTTGCGCGGGGCACGAACGGACGCGAAGTGTGGTGGTGTTTATTCCCATGTTCTAGCGGAAGATTCATTCGATTTTGCTCATCCTATCCCTGGAAGTAGCGTGCGGCCAGCCTCTCTCTCTCTCTCTCACACACACAATATGGTCGTCGTCAGGGTGTACGACATAGTGTTTAATGCCTCCGACGATGGCAACAATTCCGTTCGACACACACACAGTCTGGTACAGTCGTGCTTATTTTGAGTGTATAGCGAATATGACAACACACACACACACACACACACGGGGAGGTTCATGGCACTCTTGGTGTTGCGTACAAGTCCTGTGGTGTTTTTTTTTTTGGTGTGTGGTGGCATTGTAGGTCGTTGCAGAGGGCTCCAATTTTTTTTTTTAGACCATTGGCATGTGCAAGGAAAATGAGAGAGCGAAATGACAGAAATCCAGAGTGCAAAATCACATTGAAAGCCAGCAAGTCCAACGCTGTCCAGAAAGCAGTAATGCACTGATATTCCATCAACGGAGAACCAAAGCACTGAATCCGAATGTCAATCAGAGCATACTCTCGCCTCCACCAACATCTTCGAGCTCAGCGCCCAGACTACGATCACACAGCTTTCTAGCAGCCTACGGATTCACAATGCATCCTGTTGACGTCAGCATCGGACACGAAGTACATGAAGATGTCAATAGACCATCGCCAAGATCAGGTACATGCCCTCACATCATCAACCTCATCTCTCTCTCTCTCACCCTCGACTTCATCACCCACGTTTTCTGCCTCATACACGAAGACCACCACCACCTCCACTGGCTATCACCAAGCCGAGCCCGGCTACGAGGGCTGGCTATTACGGCGCTGCCCTCAGCAGCGCCCTTCCTCTCGCGGTACCGCACGTGCGTGCACGCTTGTGCCTAGCGCTAACGCAGCAGCCCGCGAGCGCTAGCTCCAGCAGCGCTGCCCCATCTGCATGCAAGCTGTCTCTTATACACATCTTATGTATGTGTGGACCAGTGGGGTAGTTTTTTTTTTTTTTTTTTTTTTTTAGAAAAAATTTTTTTTTTTTTTTTTTTTTTTTTTTTTTTTTTTTTCCCCAGCATTGTTTATCTACTCTTCTAGCCTTCTTTTGCTGTTTGTCACTACGTCTGTTTCTCAGAAAAAAACTCTCTTTGAAGCTGTTGCGTTTATCTTAAATGAGAGAGAGAAAAGAAAAATAACTAGAAAGAAAAGAAGGGAGTAAATAGCCCCCAATATTCCATCACAATGATATGGGTACGAATCTGTTGTGTTCAGCTTTAAAAAAAAGTCAGGATAAAAAAACTGAAAAAGAAGGGGGCAAAATACATGATGAGGTGAAACTGTGAAAGGGCACACATTACATAAAGGGGAACATGAGTGTCTGCGATACAATATAAGGGAAAAAGAACCTAAGGGGGATTGGATGCGATGATATTAAATTATTTCAATATATTATACGCAACGTTTCTTCGGAGGAGCACGTCCGTTATGTGGCGTTGGAGTTGAACCACCAGTATACTTCCTAAGGTCGTGTGCCTCTATACAACCCCCGATTTTAGGAAATGTATGCACCACTACAGGAGCGACCAAATTCATCTGACTAGAAATGTTTCTACTACTATATTTCTTTCCCATGGATGATAGCTGGGCCAAGTACCAGTGGTTTAACATCGCTAGTCTTTTTGGTTATAATCAGACCTCCTTATTATTATAATCACACCTCCTAAAGTGTTCCCCCGACGAGGAGAAGGCAGCCTTTTAAAAAAATTTAATGAATAAAATAAAAAACTAAAACAAGCTTGTAACCCACGTAAGCCCATAGGTTTCGGTTATGGGAAATCCTTCGGCACGGATTTGGATTTCCATAGCCTCCTTCCGTACGGATTTCCTTTTTTTTTTTTTTTTTTTTTTTTTTTTTTTTTTTTTAAGCTCAGGGTGTAGTAGAGGATGGTGACCAGGCCTCAGGAGGGTCCCAGGAAGGGTATTTCTTTTTTTTCGAAGAAAAACCAAGACTGCTGGGGAGGATGGATACGGATATTATCAGAAGGATTTTCAGAAGACGGTACAGGGAATTGGTGGCGGGATCGCCGCATAAGGAGCAACAGCCGTGCTTCGAACGGACCAGGAACACTTGCCAAGAAAAAAACACGGTGAAAGGCCAGGTCTGCATATCACACTGTTACCTTGAAGATTTTTTCTGAACCCCGACGGTAACGACGCCTCAAGAAACGACAACGGATTCCCGTCGTAGCCCACCCACCCATGCAAGTAGACATGCTCCTTCTTACACTGCAATCCAGCTATCTGCCAGTTTCTGCTTCAACCTTCTCCGAACAAGAAATCACGCACGGCGGCTTTCAGATCTCTACGGTAATGTTTTCTCAAGAGATGACGACGGACTCCCGTCACAGACCACCCAACGTTGCAAATCGCATCTTTCTTCCTACACACGTTGCCCCAAACTGGTCTCGCTATCCGTCAGAACCTATCGCAGCCATCTCTCTTCTCTGCGTTTTTTCTCTCCAAACCTTCACTGACCTTGCTCCCTGTCAAATGTCTGCTGCCATTCTCTTCCCGCCTCCCTCATATCTGCTACCCATGACGTTTTCTTCCCTTTTTCCCAACGCGACCACCTACAATACCCACATCTTACCTCTGTTCCTACCACCCCGCTCAGATTCCTCCCCTCGTCTGAGTTGCTTTCCACCCTGAACCACTATACGCCCAGATACACCCTCTCGAGCATTCTTTAGTCATGCTTGTGTTTCCCGCTCTCTCGCCTTCCCTCTTCTCCTCTCTCCCCCTCCCCCCCCTCTCTCTCTCTCTCTCTCTCTCTCTCTCTTCTCCCTCTCTCGGACATCAACGGGCTACTGGGTCATACGGACGGCCCCGAGTTATTTTTCGTGCTATATAAGGTTGGACAAGCGGTAGACAGGTAGCGCAATCTTTCTCCCCTGATGATGGCCGTGCTGGCGACGCGGCCGAAACATGTCGGGAGTTTCGCCATATTTTGCTTCTATTCATGGTGACGATTATTTTTTCGAAGCAAAACATTATTTGCGCGCTACCTCTGTGTACTTTTCTAATCTCTCACTCTGCCTTCCTTCTTTCTCTCCTACCCTACCACTGATGTGTGCGGAGTTGGCGATGGCATGTGGTTCTCACCACCCAGTGAGGCATGAGTCGGCTTAACGCCCTTGGCTGTTTCGACTCTCTTCCAGCAGAGGCCTCAGGAGGGCCCATGGTACTCTTTCATTGGAGGGCCTCCATACGGATTTCCATAACCTATAAAGTTATAACTTTGAAGTTCGAAACTTTGCGGAGCTCAGCGCACATGGAACCTGTCGTCAAGGGTTAAGGAGGTTATGGAAATCCGTAAATGGAAGTCGGTATCCGGATCCTTCCCAGGTCAGGATAAAACCGCACACGAACTGTCATAAAGTGGACCGCCGCTAATTTCATTGCTGTCGTCTACACCCAAGCAAGTGCACACGCAGCCCAAGGCAAAAAGCGCAACAATGCTTTGACATCGTCGATCTAGTGCATATGGTATGATGCATAGTGTATCATCATTCAGAGTCCGCGAGCAAATATGGTCGGGCACACCAACCGGATTGGGATCGAAAATCCATATATATTGTTTATACTTGGGTGTAGTGCACACGCAGCCCAAGGCAAAAAGCGCAACAATGCTTNGCACACCAACCGGATTGGGATCGAAAATCCATATATATTGTTTATACTTGGGTGTAGTGCACACGCAGCCCAAGGCAAAAAGCGCAACAATGCTTCGACATCGTCGATCTTGTCCATATGGTATGATACTATGATGCATAGTGTATCATCATTCAGAGTCCGCGAGCAAATATGGTCGGGCACACCAACCAGATTGGGATTGAAAATCCATATATATTGTTTATCAATAATGATATAAGTATATTAAATATTATATAAATAATATGATATTAGCATTGAAGTGGTTCGCTGTGACCCAATGATTATATGTGTCCTGTTGGATGTATATAGGTTGAGATGTTCAAAAAGGCTCAGGACTGCCTTCTGCCGATGGGAGAGACGTCAGAGAACGTTGCAGAGAAGTTTGGAGTGAGCAGAAGACAACAAGATGAATTTGCGGTATGTTTGTTTGTTTGTTTGTTTTTTTTTTTTTTTTTTTTTTTTTTTTTTTTTTTTTGCCTACAGTCATGTGTCTTGGGGAAGACTGATCTTGGCGTGCTGCTCTTGCACCGAAGAGACAGATTTGCAGCATTTATTATTCCAGATGTATATATTAGATATTATTGAATGACATATTGGATGGACTTTATTTATTATCATTACAAAATATATATATTAGATATTAATGGATGGACTTTATTTATTATCATTACAAAATATATATATTAGATATTAATCATATTATTGAATGGAATGACATATTGCATGGACTTGATTTATTTGCAAGGAAGATGAGCATTAGCGAACTTCAGCAATCAAACCGCATCATACATATGAGCCCAGATAGTTTTGACCTCGAACCACAGCAGACT